CCTGGGAAGGAGTTGTTTTGTCCATAGGTTCAGTGTCAGAGCTTCTGGCTGCTGAAGCCGTAAATGGGGGGCTGGGTAAAATAGGAACCGAATGTAAAATGCCAGACTGGGAAGGCGGTTTGTTGTCCATAGGTTCAGTGTCAGAGCTTCTGCCTGCTGACGACGTAAATTGGGGTCTGGGGAAAACAGGAGTCGAATTGATACTGACAGCTTGGGAAGGAGGTGTGTTGTCCATAGGATCATTGTTAGAGATTCTGCCTTCTGAAGGCGTAAATGGGGGGCTGGGGAAAACAGGAGCCAAGTGGAAAGTGAAAGCCTGGGAAAGAGGTGTTTTGTCTATAGGTTCAGTGTCAGAGCTTCTTCCTGCTGAAGCCGTAAAGTGGGGCTGGGGAAAACTGAAAGCGAATGGAAAATGACAGCCTGCGAACGAGGTGTGTTGTCCATAGATTCTGTGTCAGAGCTTCTTCCTGCTGAAGCCGTAAATGGAGGGCTGGGGAAAACAGGAGCCCAATGGAAGGTGACAACCAAGGAAGGAGGTGTTTTGTCCATAGGTTCACTATCAGAGCTTCTGCCTGCTGCAGCCGTAAAGGGGGCCTGGGGAAAACAGGAACCAAATGGAAAATGACAGGGAAGGAGGTGTGGTGTCCATAGGTTCATGTCAGAGCTTCTGCCTGCTGATGACGTAAATGGGGGTCTGGGGAAAACAGGAGTCGAATGGAAACTGACAGCCTCGGAAGGATGTATGTTGCCCATAGGTTCAGTGTCAGAGCTTCTGCCTGCTGAAGCCGTAAAGTGGGCTGGGGCAAACAAGCGCCGAATGGAAAATGACAGCCTTGGAAGGAGGTTTGTTGTTCATAGGTTCATTGTCAGACCTTCTGCCTGCTGAAGCCATAAATTTGGGGCTGAGGAAAACAGAAGCCGAATGGAAAATGACACCTTGGGAAGGAGGTGTGTTGTCCATAGTTTCATTGTCAGAGCTTCTTCCTGCTGAAGCCGTAAATGGGGGGCTGGGGAAAACAGGAGCCCAATGGAAAGTGACAGCCTGGTAAGGAGGTATTTTGTCCATAGGTTCAGTATCAGAGCTTCTGCCTGCTGAAGCCATAAGTGTGAGACTTGGGAAACCAGGTTTAAAATAAAAAAAAGCACCCTGGGAAGGAGGTGTGTTGTCCATAGTTTCAGTGTCAGAGCTTCTGCCTGCTGAAGCCGTAAATGGGGTGGTGGGGAAAACAGGAGCCGAATGAGAAATGACAGCTTGGGAAGGAGGTGTGTTGTCCATAGGTTCAGTGTCAGAGCTTCTGCCTGCTGAAGCCGTAAATAGGGTTCGGGAAATCAGGATCCGAATGGAAAATGACAGCCTGGGAAGGAGGTGTGCTGTTCATATGTTCAGTGTCAGAATTGCTACCTGCTGACGTACCCATGACGGCTGAAGCCCTAAATGGTGGTTGAGGAAAACAGGAGCCGAATGGAAAATGACAGCCTGGGAAGGCGATGTGTTGTCCATAGGTTCTGTGTCAGAGCTTCTGCCTGCTGAAGCCGTAAATTGGGGGCTGAGGAATACAGGAACTGAGTGGAAAATGACACCTTGAGAAGGAGGTGTGTTATCCATAGGTTCAGTGTCAGAGCTTCAACCTGTTGACGTACCCATGACGGCTGAAGCCCTAAATGGGGTGCTCAGGAAAACAGGAGCCAAATGGAAAATGACATCCTAGGAAGGAGTTGTTTTTTCCATAGGTTCAGTGTCAGAGCTTCTTCCTGCTGAAGCCGTAAATTGGGGCTCGGGACAACAGGACCCGAATGGAAAATGACAGCCTGGGATAGAGGTTTTCTGTCCATAGTTTCAGTTTTGGGGCTGCTACCTGCTGAAGTACCCATCACGGCTTAAGCCCTAAATGGTGAGCTCAGGAAAACAGGAGTCTAATGGAAAATAACACCCTGGGAAGGAAGTGTGTTGTTCATAGGTTCAGTGTCAGAGTTTCTGCCTGCTGAAGCTGTAAATGGGTGGCTGGGGAAAACATGAGCCGAGTGGAAAATGACATCCTTGGAAGGAGGTGTGTTGTCCATCAGTTCAGTGTCACAGCTTCTGCCTGATTAAGCCGTAAATGAGGGGCTGGAGAAAACAGGGGCCGAATGGAAAATGACAGCCTGGGTAGGAGGTGTGTTGTCCATAGGTTCAGTGTCAGAGCTGCTGCCTGCTGAAGCACTGATGACGGCGAAGCCATAAATGGTGTTCTGGGGAAAACTGGAGCTGAAACAGTAAATGCGCGGCTGGGGAAAACAGGAGCAGTAGGGGGAGAGGCTCTCTGCTTCCCATCAGAGGTCCCACATATGGGCTGAAGGTTGGTTTGGAGTCCAAAGGGATGGTTAAAATTTGGGGTGTCGCAGGGGACCATCGGCACAGGTGGGGTGATAGACACTGGGACCTCCGCAGGGTGCCTCTTGTCCACCCTGAGACCTGGGGGAGACCTAAACATGGCAGCTTTGGAAGAGGCAGTAGTATCCATGTAGACATCAGTGTGTGCAGTAGACTGGAAGGTGAAACTTCCAGATGCCGTGACCATTCTCGTGGAAGGGATTGCCATAGAAGTCATGGGCTGCCCAGTTAAAATAGGGGGATTGATGGTAGGGACTGGAAGAGGGGTAGGTAAGTATAAAGGAGGGGTAGGATCTGTAGAAATGCGTGTTGGGGGTTCCTTTTTGTGGGATGGTGGCTGGAAGGAGAAAGCTGGGATGCTAGGAGGTGGAGGGAGGTCAGAAATAAGAGGTGTGTGGTTGTGACTGAATGAAAAGGACCTTCATTCTTCTTTAGTGGAATTCCCCAAATGGGATCAGAAGCTGAAGCAGGAAGAGAATCAGCAGGACTGGCAACTTAGGGACTGTGTATCTTGTTTCCTGATCAATATTAGGTGTTGGGGAAGGAGGAGGGACAGACAGGATGGGGGACATGGAATATAGGTTGGCCAAGTCGGTGGTAGTAGCAGGGACCTGCAAAGTGTGAGCGGCCGGGGGCAGGGAGTCTGCAGTCTGTGAGGCAGGTGGGGAGAGAGAAGGGGCAGACTGAGGGGCACTGCAGTCTTCCTTGACCGTCCTTATATTATTCAGGATCTTGTTCCACTGACACTCAGTGTTCTTCTCCATGGTACCTGGGTTTTTGGCAGCAGCTAAGCACGGAAGCTTAGGAGGGAGCAGCTCGCCTCGATCCCATGTCAGTGCCTCAATCCCCGATGGGGACGACCTCAGCCCTGGCAGCAGCAGAAAAAGTGGCAGGGGAATCTTCCTCTTGTAGGGCCTACTGCTGGTAGATACCAGGGAAGAGGAGCTTTTTGATTGGATGTGTGAAGACTTTTCACACTGCAGCTCCTTCCCAGACATCAGTGAGCCTGGTGATTTGGGCCGGTGGTCTTCACCCAGCACTTCTTTTGTTGGCCTCTCCAGCAGCAGGGAGAAGCATGCAGTTGGGGCAGAGAACACCATGGCACGGGATGGGACCTTCACCTCCCTCTACTTTGGGGAAGGAACTGGGAGGTGACTGGATGGTAGCGGCTTCCTAACTTTGACTACTTGCTCAGGGCAGAAGTAGTATTTGGAGTACTCTGATATCTATCCTAATAGATAACATTTTGTTCATTTAAATAGTTTTAATGAGAGAGCTGGGAACTAGGGACACACAGCATCAAGAGTTTTATAATGCATTCTGTAGAGTTCTTTTTAAGTGTGTACAAATATAAAAAATAAATGCATGCATATACACCTCTGTTACTTTATTTAGTGCTTTACAAGAGTCCCTCAAGGAAGGGGTAGTAGCAACTATCAGTATCCTTCCTTTGCGAAGAGCTTAATTTATGCAAAATTACATCATAATTTATTTGTAACTGAGAAACTAGACTTAGTTATTGAGTAGACCCTCCCTAGAGACCTATGACATTAATAAAACCAACAAAAATTTGTTCAGTTTCCAATGATACACACACTACAGACTGAATTATGAGCCATCCTTTTTTTTTTTTTTCCACTACGTGGGCCTCTCACTGTTGTGGCCTCTCCCGTTGCGGAGCACAGGCTCCAGACACGCAGGCTCAGCGGCCATGGCTCACAGGCCCAGCCGCTCCGCGGCATGTGGGATCTTCCCGGACCGGGGCATGAACCCGTGTCCCCTGCATCGGCAGGCGGACTCTCAACCACTGCGCCACCAGGGCCCTGAGCCATCCATTTTAATGAAGGGAGGAGGTGATTTAACAAATACAGAGCAAACAGAGTATTAAGTTTTGTCCTCCATTAATATTAGTAACAGATAAAGTGGGCTCCAACGCCTTCAAGATAGCTTGAGACCATCATCTCTGATTCATGGGCAGGGGGATGTTCAGCCAGGGTGTCTTTCTCTGTCACTGAGAAAAATTTCCACAATATATAATGATACCTACTGAAACTGATATGGGGCATTTGGGTAATTAGGAATCTGTTAGCATATTTTTCTCTCTTCTCTTTTTCATATATGTCATCTTTTTCAGCAGAAATGTTTGGCTAATATTGGAAAGTAACACGAGTAAGAAAGGATATGATAAGATTCCTTGGACATTCTTGTTTCTTAAAAAACAACTGCTTTCTTTCTGTGTTAGAAGTAAGTTCAGATTCAAATGGAAAGCATGGCCTCCTGGAGCTGTTAACACCTTCACTTAGTCTTGGATGTGAGCAGTAGCACAGAATTCTGGTGGAACTCAGTAAGACTCCAAATGGGTACCAAATAAGCGTGTCATGGAAAGCACACCATAAGCAGGGTGAAAACTAGTTGTGAATGGGGCCGCAGGAATGGTGGAGACACACATATTGCACATGTCTCCTCTGCTCATGTGTATATTTTATTGTCCTATAAATTTTACTTACAGAACGTAAGTTCAAAGATAGAATCATTAAGAATTTCAAGACAGCAATAGCACAGCATGAAACCAAGCAAGCGTGGGGCCCTTCTGAGCATGGTTCATGCGGGACATGATCGACTGGTAAAAGAGCTAAGGCTCTGGGATACCCACACCATGTCAGTGACAGAAGTCCAAGCTACAGATATTGAAGCAGCCCTCACTGCCACTCAGGCACAGAAAGGCCTGTCACTGAGAATTAACCAAAATGTAAATTTAGGAGGATAATTTATGGACTTTTAGGACTTTGGATTTATAACCCACAATAACAAAAAAACTTCATTTCAAAAGAGAGTGTGAGGTCTTCATGTTTGCTTTGGTTGTTGAGGGTCCTTTGTGGTTACATATCAATTTTGGAGTCGTTTCTTCTACTTCTGCAAAAATAGGGGATTTTGATAGGCATTGCTTTAAATCTGTAGGTAGCTTTGTGTAATATGGACATTTTAACAATAGTTCATGAACATAGGATGTCTTTCCATTTATTTATGTCTTCCTTAATTTCTTTCAATAACGCTGTAGTTTTGTTTTGTTTCTGTGGTACACGGGCCTCTCACTGTTGTGGCCTCTCCCGTTGTGGAGCACAGACTCCATACGCGCAGACTCAGTGACCATGGCTCACGGGCCCAGCCGCTCCGCAGCATGTGGGATCTTCCTGGACCAGGGCACAAACCTGCGTCCCCTGCATCGGCAGGCGGACTCTCAACCATTGCACCACCAGGAAAGCCCAACGCTGCAGTTTTCAGTGTACAAGTCTTTCATGTCTTTGGTTAAGCTTATTCCTAAGTATTTTATTCTTTTTGATGCTATTGTAAATGGAATTGTTCTCCTAATTTCTTTTTCAGATTCTTCATTGTTAATGTGCAGAAATGCAAGTGATGTGTATATGTTGATTTCATATTCTGCAAACTTTGCTAAGTTGTTTTATTCTAATAAATTTTTGTGAAATATTTAACATTTTCTGTATCTTTTTCAATAGTTTCCCTTTCAACCTAAGTGTATCCTTAAATCTAGGGGACATTTTGACCACCATCTGAGGCTTTCATCTTAATTCTCAACTTTTTATTCAGAGTCTTACTTGGTTAATGTTCTCCTCATTGTTTGCCAGTTTGGAGAATCCACCAAAATGTTCTACTCAAGGTGAGACCTCTTTTCTCTTCCACCTCTGAACCTGAGAACCTGAATATCGCTTATTCCTTACTTCATTCTCTTAGAACTTAGCATTCGAAGTTTAAATGGTGATCTTTCTTAAAGGAGGTCAATGTGCTCACCGAATTCAAGACCTCTGGTGAGTTGTGTCAAGTGCGTAGGAATCATATTAACTTCTTGACTGTTACCCCCCTGGAAACATTCCTAAAGTGGCATTTGAGCTTGATATTCACGTTTATTGGACACCGCATTAAAGAGTTTAACAGAATAAGAGTAAGCTGGTCTTTCCTAAAGCAGACTTTATCCAAGGGTGACCTTGTAGTCACCTGCATCAGGCTCATCCTCATTGAGTCATTGAGTGCCCTCAACCCCCCTAAACTGTAAACTCCTTATAGACAAGACTTATGTTTTATAGCTCTTGTTCCCCTTCCCTATACCTAAACATGCCTGGAATAGAAGGTGCCTCTACGAACAGGTGTTGCTTTATTTTAAACTACATTTAGTACATGTATATGTTCATTTCCCTCTGGGAAAGGAGGCTACATTCCACAGGACTCAAATATCAAGCCTTTAAACTTCCTTGAACCCATAGATATATAAATAGTTGCATAACTATCCTCCCTCTATACAACTCTAAGATGGTCATATAAAAGTATGGTCATTAATTTTTTTTGTCTTTTTTTGTTTTTGCGGTACGTGCGCCTCTCATCTTTGTGGCCTCTCCGTTGTGGAGCACAGGCTCCGGACACTCAGGTTCAGCGAACATGGCTCAGGGGCCCAGCCGCTCCGCGGCATGTGGGATCTTCCCGGACCAGGGCATGAACCCGTGTCCCCTGCATCGGCAGGCGGGCTCTCAACAACTGCACCACCAGGGAAGCCCCCATTAATTGTTTTTATTGCAAACAGATAATAAGCAAAGTGAAAGGAACTTCTTCCACCAAAGTAAATGCCAAAGTTCAAAAAGTCAAATTAATATGGGGTTTGTTACTATTCTAAATAGTAAAGAACACTGACAAGAAATATCACAGTGCTGGTTGCTATTATCATCTTTTCATTTTCCATTACAGTTGTTTATATTATCTTCATGGGATATCACTGAAGTTATCAAGTTATCAAGTTATCTTAATAGTCAAATTAAAAAACAACATCTTCATGGGATATCACTGAAGTTATCAAGGTTTCTTAATAGTCAAATTAAAAAACAAAATCCCTTGAAATGCCAATACAAAGAAAAATGAGTCAGAACATGAAAAAATGTTTTAGGCAAGTTGACAACATATATTCTTTGCTCATTTCTCTTTTTGAGAGAAGTTCCATCTTATTCACACCCACATGTACAATAGACTGAATAAAATACAACCCCATCACTCAATCTCGATAAAAAAAAAGGAAAGACAAGCTGGTTCCAGAAAATTCCTCTATTTATTCCTAGTATCTGGTTGCATCTGGCAAGAAAGAGCATTTTGAAATATTCTCTAAATTTTTGTATTTTATTTTATAATAATTTGCTTATTTATCTCAATGTAAATATTAAAAACACATGAGAAATATTTTAACATTTGGCATTTGACGATTCCTATCTATTTCCTTAATGTTTCCTTTGCGTCCTATGATGATCTTTTGGGATAGACAGCACATACCACTCTCATACTCCCCAGAGTCTATAGCCCCATACACGTGCAAAATAGCTTGTGGGTCTGCGTTAACATACTCTTGGTTGAGGCAGGAAGGCTGTAGAGTACATAGTTTTTACACCTGAATATTTTAAGTGTTTTTGGAAAGTAACCCTAGTTTGAGTGCAAGTTCCA